CTCTAAGCTGTGAAAGGAAGGTCAAAAAGAGCCGTCATATCATACTATGTATGTAGTATGAGCCAGTGGGCGGAAGAGAGCCGTCTGTTCCGTCACACTTGAAATTTTTAGATTTTAATAAATTTTTAGTTTAACTCAAGTTATAGAGTTTATAAAGCCAAACGAAGTTTATATAAAGTATATATAATTATTCTATTTACTATTCTACCTTTCTTTCATTTTGAGTTTAACTCAAAGACTTTGAGATAATCTCAATTTATATAATTAATTCATTTATTATAATTTTCTTTTATTTTGAGTTTAACTCAAGGACTTTGAGATAATCATATATGTATTTTTCTAAATAAAATCTTGATAATATTGAGATTATCTCATAATAGCAAAGATAATCTCAAACTCAAGTTTGGTTGTATATCTACACCCCTCCCCATACCAAAATGTATATTTGTCTGGAATTGAAGACTCAAAACCTCAATTGCATTATCTTATGCATTTTGGGCCTAACTAAGGCTTTATTTTATGTAAGGTAATGTGCTAGTTAGGCCCAAAGAAGTTTGCTTGGGGTGGTTTGTTTGGAAGGAAGAAAGAATGGTTATGGTGATGGTTTTGTTTATCTGGGTTTGGGTACTTTGTAAAATAAGAGAAAAAAAAGGTTCTTGTCTGTGTGTATTGTTCGTGCCGCCTTCTTTTTCTCCTGCTTATTTTTTATCACTTTATTTACTGTGTTTACTGTGTTTCTCTTATTATACCAATACTCGCGTTACATTACTTACTTTCACGTATATTGATAAGGAGAATGAAGAGAAGTAGAAGGAGGATGGAGTTGGCGCACTACGCAGAGGGCTATGGAGATTCGAAAGCAGATCATGAGGAGCAGGGGAAAGCACGTTGGTATGTATAGTTTCTATTTATCTGCCTACTCTAATCAATCTCTTAATGCCAAGTGCTTGTTGACTGACTAAGTGTCCTCGCTGCAGCTGTATTAGACTACCAGTCTTCGGCGACCCCCCTCGACGCCGCAATGGTATTGATTATATGTTTGTTGGTGGAATGGGGAATTTACAATGCGGATTAGCTTGGGTTGGAGACTTTTGTGGAGGGGTGTGAGATGGGAGTGTTCTTTTACAAAGAGGCATGGGCTTGAGGTGTTGCGGAGGGTAGATTTCAAAGCTTGTGAGAATAGATGAGGGTGAGAGGAGGAAGGAGGAAGGAGGAAGGAGGAGCAGGGGAAGGGGCGACAAGAGCTTGAGAATGTCATGGTGGATGGAGACTTCTACGACTGAGACTTCTACGACTAAGTCAACTACCCCACATATGGACCACCCCCCTTATGGACCACCCTAAAAACCCACACCGCCTAAGCAACCTACCCTCTTCAAAAATTTATAATTAAACAACCATTCAATCAATCGATTTCAAATTTTGATACACTATTATTTATATGTCGAAACTCCAAATTGAAGACGATATTGCTATAGCTTTAAATGCTATCGTAAATGGTGTTTCGATACGAAAAGCTGCTTTGGATTATGGGATTCTTTGCACTACATTTTATAATTGTATCAATGGCTGCGTCTCCTATCAAAAAAGTTATCAGAGTATGCAAAAGATTGCCCCGATTTAGGAGAAACGTTTAGTGGAATGGATATTAGTATAGGAGAGCTTGGATATTAGTCTTATCCATTGGCAAATTCGAGAAATTGGGGAATATCTCCTCGATATAAAAGAACTCGATTCTACTTTTGGAAAGCAATGAGTATACAACTTTTTGGAGAGGAATCCAGAGATTAGAACCAAGAGACAGTATAGAATCGACTCTGCCCGAGTTTCGGGTGCTTCATATGATATTATCGTACCATGGTTTCGAAAACTCGAATTACCAGAGATTATCGATATAAAACCTGAAAATCGATACAGTATAGACGAGGCTGGTATAATGGAGGGTCAGGGTCTCAATGATCTAGTAGTAGGAAGCTCCCAGTGTCGAAATATTCAGAAAAAACAGCCTGGTTCAAGAGTTTGGATATCTTTTATCGAGTGTATTTCAGCGACAGGGCAAGTATTCACACTACTCGTCATTTTTAAAGGAAAACATATTCAACAACAATGGTTTCCTATTGATTTTGCTCTTTATAAGGATTGGAACTTTATTGTTACTGATAATGGGTGGACTACGGATGCAACGGGGCTAGAATGGTTGGAAAAGGTCTTTATACCTCAAACTACTCTCTCTGAGGCCGGCGATGCACGATTACTTATATTGGATAGTTATGGAAGTCGTGAAACTATACCCTTTATGTACAGATACTTCGAAAACAACATATATCTTCTATTCCTATTACTATATACCTCACACATCCTACAACCATTAGATTTATCAGTCTTCTCACTGAAAAATATATATCGACATGTACTCAATAATTTGAATTCTCTCTCTGATTCTATACCAATTGGAAAGCGTAACTTCCTATATTGCTATCAGAAAGCTAGAATGGAAGCTCTAATAGTTCATAACATTAAAGCTAGATGGAAAGCATCGGATCTATAGCCCAAAAACCGTGCTAAACCCCTTATAAGTCGATTATTGCTCGAGAACAGCAACCAAGAGGTTCTAGTATCTAACCTAGTTTCTGATGATGATCCCCAGCTTCAATGAAACATAGGGGCATCAGCTATTATATGGAAAACCCCTCAAAAAGCATCTGACCTTCGATTATATGCGTCGACTATGATCCAAGAAAAAGAGCCTGATTTGCCAACAAGACACTTGCTTTTTCATAAGATTATCAAAGCTTTTGATATCAAGGATTATAATCTTATGGAATCGGGGAAGCGTATAAAGCAATTGGAGTATCAATTGGATACTGTCATACCTAAGAAAAGACGTAAGGTTGTTACTAGTCCATATACCAGGTTTTCAGGGATTAGAGCTATTAGGGAGGCGCAAATCGTGGCTGGAGACCGTGGAATTAATGCAGAAGATAGCGATGATACAATTGAGAGTGGTGGTACAGGCGATTTTATTGAAGTTGGATAGTTATTGAATTATAGGGTTTGGGAGATGGGGGTCTTTTTCTTTTAGGGTGGTCCATAAGGGGGGGTGGTCCATATGTGGGGTAGTTGACTTATGGGAAGGATTACAATAGGATCGAGGCTGAAGTATATCGATGAGGGGATTGGAGGAATGACAATGCAGCTTTGTTACGTCGAGATTTGATTTACTCTCTTCCTTGCCTGGGCGATATCTACTTGAGATTGAACTATGACGTGCTCATGGTGGCGTTTGTTGGGCTAGTAATTGATTCGATAGATAGTAGACTTAATCTCAATGGGTAATTTGTTTCTAAGTATTGGAAATTGCCTATTTACTTCAGGGTTCGTACCTATGCCAATGGCTTGAGTCCGCTGACTCACTCATATAGTGACCACCCGGTATTAGCAGTTTCTACTACTCCAATTCAGTAAATCTTATAATCTATTACACCCAATCAGTTAGGCAACAATATAGTAGCTTTTTAAATGAGTACTGTCTGCAAATTATTGTGGATCTAATCCGATATAAAACATTCGATGGTAACTTCCTCGGTTTGATTTACAAGCAGCCCAGCAAAATTGGCCTGCTATTATAAATTCCAGCAATATCTTGCGGTGAATATGGTACCGTAGAGAGGAAAATCGGCCCATTAACCTGTATTACCCCGCTCTACGGCCTCGGAAATTGCGTATTGATCATAGTACAATTTTTAACGTGCAGATTCGGCTGTGTTGAGATCTTGATGCACTAGGGCAACCGTAGCGAAGTCGGGGCTATTTGGGTTTTCTCATTTGATCTTGACTTGCAGATTTTATAAACAACAACACAACATTTTCTCATCAAGACCGGTACATCATTTTCAAGGTTGACTGATTTCAAGATCATCATCTTGATATCAGGGACTGACAAGTCAAGAAGTCAGTAAGGCGAAACTTGCTGTCGGTACTGTGCAAGAAAAGAATTTCGAGTAAGTCTTTCTTCCACATATCTTGTTTTCCCAATTACAATCGTCTGTCGATCATTCAAGTTGTATCCCTAAACACTGTCCAACTGCTTAATTCCTGATTCACATTTGAACCAAATTTAAGCATGGCAATATTTGTCATGGATCAGTCAAGCTAATACAAACTTAGTCTTCATTTTCTACACCCAATTGTCACCATTCAGCTCACTCGTCGACTTAATCTTAACAAGATGCAGCCCAAGAAGCCGACCCCATTTCCAATGCAACTTTGCAGGGTGCCATCCACTCCAGGCGACATCTTGCATCGCGATGACTATTATGCAAACGCTCTAGGTGTTAGTGACAAGGTGCCAGCATTTAACAAGATGTCCGATTTACTAGATGCTCTAACACAAACATTCCTTAAATTTGGTGATCTTCCCCTCGAAACCCAGATGGCTATTTGGAAGTATTTCGGCAGAATCGAGGCAGAAACTCCAAATGTCATCAAAATCTACAAGCAAGTACTGATTGAACCAACCGAGGGTCCGTTGGAGAAACATTTCAAGAGCAGAAAGTATATGACAGTCCGTATCACGTCCCAAGAGGTGGCCTACAAAATACCTACTATCATGTCTGTCTGCGTTGCATCTCGAGCAATTGGCAAGCAGTTGTATTTGAATGAATTCAAGACGATTCCCATGGGTTCCATCAATGCGCGGTTGACATACTTCAATGAAGACAAGGATATCGTTGTTCTCGACGACATGTATATTCTTCAAGAATGGCGTTACAATCGACAAACCGATTCCGAAATGGATCGTTACCCTTATCCAGGACAAAGTCAGCACGCAATGGAGCCAGTAAGAAGAAGAATCAACATTAGACATCTTGTTGTCGATGGTTTGTTACAATCTCCTTACATGTGGAGAATGTTGGGAAGATTCTACGATTGCGAAACCATTATTGTGGCGTCGAATAGATCGATTGTCAGTCAACCTTTCAGCGATGCTGACCTTTTCGAGCCGGATCGTGTGTTCTTACATCGTCTGCGGGATGTTCTTCGTGGCTTTTGGGTCAATGAACGAGAGGGCCCCTTTGTGAGAACTGATTATCGTTTTAAACCTGTCCGCCCCTCGGTCGTCGAACCAAGTTGGGATCCTGCTGATACGACGATTTCTAACCCTATTCTACTGTTCTGGTTGCCTAGAAATATCATGAATGACCTGGTATGTATCACTCTTAAGCACCCGCTCAATGTATCATCGGCCAGCTCTAACCAAAATGTAGACAACCCAGTATCCTGCTATCAGACAACAACCAAAGACATTCAACGACAGCAGCGAATACCCTTTGATGATCAACTCCAACTTTTCTCATCTTCATGCTGCTCAATTTGATCATCCATGGAACACCTATGTTGGTTGAGATACGAGAGCTTCTCCAATTTGGGATGGCTGGGAGATGATGTGCGAGAAACGGATGTTCTGATGTGTACCAGAAGAAGTGAAAACCCGACTTTGGCATGTTACGAATTCCTCACTTCACGATGGAGCATTGGAGCATTTCGGAATCATCACTGGAGGAAAGTAGAATGTTTAGGGGTGGCTGACGCATATTTTCATTGTATTTCCTACCAATTTTGTTGACCAGATCAATTGGCTTTCATTTTTGTTTTTTAGTGGGATCGCCGAGCCGCCCACCTGGTGGGCATGCTTTCTGGTAACAGATTGAACGTTAGGCTTGTAAACCATTCTACCTATAAGATCTGGCATCTTATATGCTAGTTTGGTGAGCAACGTCAACATACTTTTGTTAGAAAGTCATGGGTACTATGGGTATCACGGCACTGCCCCTCTTCTGTATTCACTACTAGCGTACATCTTGTTTACTTATACACTCAATAACATAGCTTAGATTCTGTACCTGAATATAATTTATATACACTTCTGACAGGTTATAAAGCCTGTATTGTCAATATCTCTACACAACTTGTAATATTAATCAACTTAACTTAAATAAAACCTTTATTTTCCCCCTTTGTCCTCTTTGTTTACATATGCCTTAGCTCAATTGGTCAATATAGTACTATCAAAACCCACTGATACTCCAACTGTAACTAATACAAATTGGGATACTATTGTTATCTTCAACAATGATAACTGGAATAAGTTCTATAAATCATATCTAGGTACATTAGTTACCACTAATACTCTAACTATTGTTCAAGGAGATAAAGAAGAATTAGATAACCCCCTCGATATATCTCATATCACAGATCTTTGTGCCTATAAGAAGAAATACAAAACATTATCTCCATTATCAATTTTGTAGTCAACTCTATTTATCGCTTTGCTTTTGTTTCTTTTCTAGCAATATATGATATTGTTGGTATATGGAATAAGTTGATAGAGCACAATTACACAATTTATCCTCAGTATATTGCTGAAGTCAGAAAGCAATTTCATTTCGAAGACTTCGATTCAAAGACACAAACTTTACGCTAATTCCTCGAATGTCTTTCTAATTATCAAAGCAAAACCTTTACCAATAATAAAGTTATTAGTGATCAAAAAGTTTATATGTAGTTTATAAATAAAATCTCTGAAATGGAAAGCTAGCAAACCTAGAGGAACTTTGTTATCAATTCCAATCAGTTATTTCAGAAAACTATGGTTATATTAACTATTACAGAGAAACCTTATACAGCAATTGTTAACTATATTGAAGAAGGTAAAGGATGTAGTGGAAATCGAGATGGATATGATTGTAATAGAAAATGTGGTGGATATCGTAAAGGATCTGGCGGAAATGGAGGAGATTCAGGTAATACTTCTAGTGGTAAAATTGAAAAGGTTTTTAAAGATCAACATAGATTCTGTTTCAAAAAAGGTTATTTTCAGAAGGATTATTGTTCTTATTTGAAAACTAAAAAGGCTGCTTAAGGTATTAAGGCTAATAAAGAAGATAATAAAGAAGAAAAGGCTAGTCTTGTTATAGGAGATCAATATAATGGTATCATTTATACTAGAATTATTATATATACCATTGATTCAAAAAATAACATTTGGATTCTTGACTCTGAAGTATCTAATCACTTCATTGGAATATTAGAAAATCTTGATCATTTTCAATATTAGAAAGAATTAAGAAAAATAAAAATCGCTAATAACATTTATATTATAAATATTGGATTTGGCAAAACAAAAATAGATTAATTAATACTTGATAATATCTAATATATCAAGGATTTCAGATCTATACAATTAATCTCTATTGCCTAACTAACAGATACAGAAAACAAAATCATATTTGAAAAGAATTCAGGATTGTACTGGAGATTTGATCAGTTCTAATTCGCTATCAAACAATCAAAGGATTCCTATATCTACCAATATACTACT